TGTTGGAAATAGATACAAATAAGCACGATAAAGACCATCAAGATGTAATTAATCTAATAAATAAAATGCCAAAAAAGAATTTAGTAGGTGCGTGCATAAAAGATGTAATGTAAACTTGTTATGCTTACCCTGGGAATATAAATTTGGCCTTTAACTTTTTTTGAGGTGTGAATAACCTTTTAATAAATTAAAATAAAATAAAATATTAAAATAATTTTTTTAAAAAAATGATCGCAAATAATAAATAATGGTGACTACACATTTTATATTAAAAACCACCTTACCTTAACATTAGGGAAACAATCTAATTGCATCGATTGGTAAACTAAAGAAAAAGTAGCAGAAATCATAGCCTGAGAAGCTATAATTGTAGCAAAAATAGCTAAAACAAATATAGTCCAATAAATTCCAGGATTAGTAGGAGTAGTTAACCAAAAAGTATTGGAAATTAAGGTAGGATCTAAAACTAAACGAGCAGCTTGGCCTGTATATACTAGAACCAAAGGAATATAAACGAAAAATGGAAAAGAGATCTGGATGGCTTGTCGATTAAAATGACCAAGGTCTGCATATAATGCTTCCACACTATTTAGACAAGTATAAGAAAGGAAATTTTAGATATATTAAAAGTCGTATAGGTTCCTAAGTTATAGTATTAAACGAAAATTTTACCCCGTAATGGCCAATAGAACACCACCAAGATCAATAAACTTTTAAAAAAAAATTAATACTGTAATTAGATAAACTAATTGATAATATTTGAAATAAAAATCATAATAAAGATATTTTACCCCATCACGTTGATTTCGAATGAAATAATTAATAGCATAATAGGGATTGTAGGCCTTAAATATTTCTGGGTAATAAGTAATGTTCCAAATGCCGACAGAAGCGAGAGAGATAAACCAAAGAGAGACAATCGGGGCAAATAAATTTCCGACTTTGGCCGTACCAAATTGTTGTACCATAAACAATATAACAATGATAACGCTTTTATAATTAAAAATGTGAGATATTTATTCATTTATCAAATAACATAATATGTAATGTAATATATTTAAATACCAGCTAATGGGAACAATAGCACGTGTTAAACTTGGCGCAGGGATGGCCATACCCTCAACGGCAGAAATTACGGAAATAGCAGGAGTTAGCAGGCCGTCACTCATAACTAATGAAGAGCCAAGAAGGACCACACAAAGTAAAATAGACTGTACAGTTTTACTGCGCTTAATGAAGTTTGGATGTTCCTTAGAACTAATAATTGACATGGCATCGTAATTTGCAATCGTCAAATCATCAGAATTCTCATTTCCTCGCACGGAAATTCCAGAATGACTAATAAATTTTTTTTTTTTTTAATTTTACAAGTTATAAAGCATTGTATTAAAATTTATAATCAGTAACCTTAAGTATAATCTTAAATAAAATAAGATGCATATATATATATACTTACCGACTTAATAATGAGTATAAAGCGAAAGTGCCACCCTCACCATTATCATCAGCTCGGAGTACAATGAAAACATATTTTATCAACGGCACGATTGTCTAAAATATAAAAAAGAAATTTTGCAATTAATTTTCAACATTAAACAATTTTTTTTTTTTTTTTTAAAAAAAAAAAAAAAAAAAAGCAAGTATTTAGACTTACCAATGACCAAAAGATCAAAGATAAAGCACCTAAAATATACAAAATGAAATGAACTTATTGAACTTTTAAAATAGAACCCTCCTATTATAGTCACCCCTATATAATCACATCATAGTAAAACCCTTTTTAGAATCACGTCAAAGTCTGCAACACTTTACTAATAAAAACTTATAAAAAAGCGCCTCTTTATAAGCATATCATAGTAAAAACCTTTTATACAATTACAATTTGCATGATACGGATTGCGTGATTATAGAGTGGGACGATTGTAGAAGAATTGGTTAAAATAAACGTACTGTACCATAAACATCTTGAGAGTCTGTAGGTGCATTCTGAAAGATTCCAGTGAATACTATAATTTTTTATAAGTTGAATTAAAGATTCTGAACAGTTGTTAAAAGAGAGCAGGGTTCATGTACATACCATATAAGGGAGAAGTACCAATATCACCAAATATAATGCCTATATTTTTAAGAAAAATGGTAAATTATTATTTTGAAATTAGATTACGAATTTAAATAGAAATAGTTACCTATCGATTTAAAAGCTAAGCTTAGAGTAAGTAAACCAGAGTTTCCCTAAATATAGAATTTTTCGAATTAATACAGTAAATGATCTAAGGTTCAATTCAATTCGCCATTATAGGTGTGCACATTTAGAAATAAGTTTTAAAAGTGTGCTATGCATTCACTTTGTTTTAAAAGTTATCTTTTCATTAGATATCTAATGCTAGAAATGAACGGAGCTTAATTTTATTTCGCTTAAAGCATTAAAAACATACCTTGTTTTTGTGTTGGTCTTTGGCATTAAAATTACTGTTCGTTTCAGGATCGTTAATACTTTCAGACATTTTTTTTTTTAAAAAATTAATTTTACGCATTCGTTATATATATATAGTATACGCATTCGTTACGTATACGTATGCATTGTTATACAGTATACGCATTCGTTATATATATAACATATAACCTCACCTCATGTATATACGCTTATCTAAATCAGGTTATATTTAATTTTTCGTTTGTTTTAATTTTTTTTCTTGGCAAATCAAATCTATGTGTTACAAACAGATGAATAAAAAAAGTAGTGGATCCGACAAAGTTTAAGGAATGCATGCCGATAAAGCCCTTTAATCACAATATTTCCTATCCCCATTATTTCTAGAAGATCAACCAAATAAAATGTCGATATGTGCTACCGGGACATGATTTCACAATCATGATTAAATGGTTAGTTTTGTACGTACGTACGTACGTAGAAAAATTCTAATCATTATTCTTTTGTTACCCACATTTGAAAGTTAAGCAATTCCCACCAAGCTACTAATTTTTATATTAGAATCCTATTCATGTGGAATTGATGTGAAGGTTTCTTAAATAATATCGGGGATGATACTGATGCTAAAAATTTGGGGTCTCGATTTAAAAATATAAACCCACTAAAAAAAATCCACCTACAGTCAGACATCTCTAAGTGCACCCTTTATAAGTACATCTCTCTAAATGCATACTCAAGTTCTGGCTCAAATATATACTTGACCTTTATAAATGCACTTTTCTTAATATTCTCTAAATGCACATTATTAAAGTGTGGCCCCAAGGACGTGCACTTAACATTTCAACATCATCCCCGACAAATAATAATAGAACAGGGTGAAACCTGAGTTGCGAAATAGTGAAATCCGCTTTGTAGATCGGGTTAAGGTGAAATCCGCGTTTTAATTATGTTTTTTATTATACTGTATAAAAGCGGATTTCACCCTTGTGTGATGATCATAGCAGATTTCACTATTTCGCAACTCAGGTTTCACCCTGTCGTATAATAATCATAGTTTCATTAACGTTAACCATTTCTTTCGATTTTCACAATCCTACCATGTCTCGATATTGTCTTGATATCACTTGATACTAGTTTGTACATCAATGGCAGTGAAATATATCTCAAGACCAACAATTAATAAAGTTAACATGGGAATAGGACATCGGATCGTCCGATGTCGATTAGAAAATGAAAAATGTTATTCGTGAATTGTGAATACGTACGTACGATAAGAACTAAAACAGGAATAGTGCACTTAACTAATACGTATATAGTAATGAACTTTAATTGTACACGAATAACAGTGCTCGTCTCCGTTTGTATCTCAACGTTTACTTTATTAAGATAAATTGATAAGCTCTTGAACTACTAAATTCAAGAAAATAAATGATGATAACGATAATAGTTATGTTGCTTGAAATAAATTTTTTTTAATACGTATTAACCTTGCAAAGCTTGATACGTAGTAGATTGCCTTGTCGAACTTTATTATTTCCATTCACGGAAATGATTTTTAATGTTAATTTTTAATTTGCAAATGAGAAATAAGTAACGGTAAGAGATAAGAATGTAATTAAACCTTTTAGTATACGTACGTATTTATTATCAATGACGTCTATTTTATGTTTTTTGACAATTCATTTAAGCATGCATGTACTTACGTACGTACCTACGAGTTTTCTTTTGTTCCGTTTACTAAATAAGGCTTAGTTATCGTCATAAAACTATTCCTTTCTAAAATATGAATCTGTAAATCTAAAATCACAATCATGAAAACTTTAGATTTTGGAAACAGTATTCTTAAGTTGATAATCTTTAGGTTTGGAATTAACCTAATTCTAAATTCTAAAACGACTTGAGTGGAAAATCCTATTATTATTTTTAATATATAATAAATAATGTTAAATATATTATTTTTTACATATTCAATATTATGTAGATGATGCCCATTTTCATATAATAAATCATATAGAACGTTTACATTTATTTTTTTACTTCATTTTGTAATTGAGTTAACGGTAGCTGTAATCTTTTTCGTCAAAGTCAAAATCAAGTGCATATTCTAAAAACCTAGTTTATGGTGCTGATTGGCCGAGATTATTGTCGATTATGTTAGCGTATTGGCCATAAATCTTTGAATTTTAATTTGAGATTTTAATAAGACGAAAATAGATGTTAAAAATTATTGATTAAACAATCATTGTATCTAATTACGATATATTGCAATTATTGTAACTCTTGATTACTTCCGGCCCAGAAAACAGATTAATACGAAAAGCCACTTTCTTTACTCTGTAAATCTCATTTATATTAAATCCCATTCTATGCCCTTTCTAATTCGTTCTATTTTAATCATTATATATTCCACTGTAGTTTCTCATAGTTGTTAGTCTACGTATAAAGATTCACCGAACTAATTGATAAAAAAAAAAATTAAGGTTCATAGAATTCTGGAATTTAAAATGCGGTCCCTGCATAATTACTATATTTAATGCAGATGCATCAAATTGCGCTGAATAACGAATAACGCGTGCTGCATTGCATAATTATAAATGGTATCATCCACAGTTATTATTAGCTGACTGTAAATATCGATACCGATATGGGTGAAAGCAATTGTCAGACGGTGGTTTTCCTGGTCCATTTCCCATATGTCACAAAATACAAACACAAAAAAAAAAACGGTCAGCTTACAATGATATCGGCGTTTTCCGGATGGCGATAACTACCGTATAAGCGCGAAATAACGCCCACCTGCGCGTTATTTCGAGTACGCCCATTTCGAAATTACTTTAAATATTTAGACTAAAACGCAGAAATTCCTGATACATCTACCGTCTAGCCGTTATTACAGGCCGAATATAATCACTAATTTTATTGGAATGCGTGTCATGCGTTAATTCGAGACGCCCATGGAGATCACGTATGTCATTTTTGAAGAAAAATTTCGCTATCACGTGAGGATCTACATAACTTATCCAATAGCGAGTCTCGCTTTAATGTAACGATACACGATCAAAACAAAATGTTCGTTTGCATTCTAATTCCTCGACACTGTCACATGATAGTGAAATTTAATGGTAGGGATACCGCCGATTTGCGATAGCATAATCTGCGCATAAATCAGATTATATCGCAAAAGCATATGCAATAACATATTGGCATATTGGCTAATTTCGCATAATTAATGTCGCGGATCATCATTTAAAATGAAATATACTCAATCTGTTAACCTTTTAAAACCCACTTATACTTGTTTATTATAACTTTACTTTAAAACTAACCCTTAACATAACCTCTATCCCTAAAAAATGCACCCCAAAAAATTTTATTTTTCGAGATTTTATATTATAATTTCATTTTGATCTGGATTTCATTATGATCCGCCACTTTAATTATTAAAGCTTGGACATGCTCTGGACACTTGTGAACACTTGGAACTTGAATATAGGATAGTGTCAAAAAGCCTTTTGACAGTCAAAATATACATCACTGCAATTTATAGTTTGGAACTAGTGTTATTTTTAATACTGTATATTAAAATCAGGTTAAAATATAAAAAATAAAATTCTAATCACAACTCTTCACATAATTTTACTTGATTCACATAATTGTAGCATAATTTTAAAAAATTTATCATATAAATTATATAAATTAATTTATAAACCAGGTAAAATGTGGGTTGGTTGCAACAGAAAATAAGAATTTCTATTTAATAATAACAGAGAATAATTATATTTAGTAGCTAATTTATAATTTTTTTAGCATATAATTATTATTAAAATTTTATATCTTATTATACATTTTTTTTATTATTATTAAACATGATTAATTAAATTTTTTTAATATTCTTTTAGTATTTTTTTTTTTATGATAATTCAGCAATTTTATCTCTGTTTACTTAATTTTAAACTATTCAAAAATTTATATAAATTTCTATCTAGTTGTAACTAATCTTACCAAACAGATAGTTCACCCAGCCTTTGCCTATGTGTAACTTGCTTCAGTAACCATTGGCCTCCTTTCAGGTCCTTAACTTACTAAAGATTTATTTTTCTTCAGTTATAGGCTGGCAGCTATATGTTTTGTTAACATTACCTTTTGTTATTATTTCTATTTTTGCTTTATATTTATTAGTAACAATTATGTCAGTTTTACACTATACTATATTAAGTTTTTTATATTCTTGAAGACTGTTATTCTATAGTCTTTTTTTCTTTTGTTTTTTGTTTTTGATATTAGTTATTGTTTTTCTGATCTGCTTTTTTTTTTTTGTTCTTTCTTTTTTTTTTGTCTTCTTTTAGAATTTTTTTTTCTAATTATTTTGCAACTTACATCTGAGGTTTCTAATGTATAGCTGAAATCTTTTATTAATCATGTTTAGTATGATATCTAAAACTCTGTTTGATGCTTTTCTTTTTTGCAATATGTCTTCTATTTTTATTTTTTGTTTTTCTTATATCAGATCTTTTTTATATAAGTTTTTGTTTCTATTTTTTCTAATCTTTTTGAACTAAATATACTTCTTTTTACTTCTTTTTTAGCTAGCATATAGGCTGTGTCATCATCTTTTTTTTAGAACTTCTATTGTGTTTTCTGGAGCTTCTTTTTTTATTATACTCCAGATGATTTAGTAGTCTTTGCAGCTTGCTAAATAGTCTATTGTTTTGGTTTATCTAGGCATGTAGCATACTTGTTCATCTTGTACAAATCAGATCTTTTTGTTTTTAGTTCAGTTATAGTTAACAGTATTTTACTAAGGCATTTAATTTTAAATATTCATATAAATATCTATCTATCATTAGCTTTGTTATCTAAATATTTGTTTTTTTTTTTAATCTTTAACAACCTTGGCAATGATTTTTTATTAAGATTATTATATAAATAAATTATATAATATTGAGCTTAATATTTAGACCTGACATCTCCCACTATTTCATAGATATTCAGAAGTAGTCTGCTGTACTGGCTAGAAATTTGTTTTATAACCAGAAGGCTAATATTAAATTAGCTATACAACTCATATCAAAAAGATTTGCAACTATTTTAAATTAAATTTCTAAAGCTATTAAATCATCTATTTTCTATCCTTTTAATATGCTTCTCTTTTTCTTCTTTTAATTTAATATTTCTTTCTATTTCTTTTATATTCATTCTAATCTTTGTAATTCTGTTTCAACTATATTTGGGATTGACTTCTTCTTTTTTTTGTTAATTTGCTTTTATGTTTTTCTCTAGTTGAAATATCTTTATTCATTTCTTATTTTTGTCTTGCTTTACACCTTTTTATTCATATATTCTTATAAAAGCAATTCCAAACTGTGTTTATAGCAAGCTTAATATAGGTCTTGGCTTTTTTTCTTAATTGTAGAGTTTCTTGTATCTTTTTCATCTTGTCTTCTTGTATCAGTCCTTTAATTACTTTTGCTCTTGTTTCTAAAGAATCTTTTTTTGATTCTTCCTAGAGTGTTTCCTCTAATAGGTTTTTGTTTGTTCTCCTTTGAGTTTTCTTTGAAAGAGATGTTTATGCTATATTTATTGTTAGTTTTTCTGCAATTTTCTAGCTGTTTCTTGTTCCTTGCAGCCTGCTAAATGATCTTAATCTTCTTCAACTCTTTTATTACATATTATGCAATTTGAGTTTTGATATAGGTTTAGGTATCTTTATACTAGTATCTAAAATATAGATAACTTCTTATTAGCATATTTGATTAAAGCTCTAAGATATTTGCTCTTTTTAAGTGTTGTATATCTAATTCCATTATTTTTCTGTTTTGCTTTCAAAAATATATCCACTCATTAGTTTCAAGTTTATATACTGGTTCTATTTTCTGTATTGCTTTTAATTTCTTCTAGTTTATGTCTATTTTAAAGTCAAAAAATGTTTTGATTACTTGTCTTACTAGATGTTTTATAAGCATTCCATCCTAGTATAATGAAATATTTGATCTTAGTAGGGGGTTAAAAATAATTCTATCTATATTTGTTATCATCTCACTTTGTTTTGCTAAACTATCTACTTTATTATTCTACCTATTATTACTATAACTTTTTTTTTTATTTTGAATTTGCTATATATATAATAAGATTAGTTACAGATTTGTATCAAGATGATATTAATTTTAAACTATCTATTATATCTTATATAAC